CCTTCTCCTTCCTTGGAGTTTTCATCTCTCAAACAGAAACAAATCTAAGCTGATCAATTTATGGGGCTACAGCAAAAGTAGAATCACAGAAGGTTTTCTAAGTTTACCAGTAACTTCACTAAATTATCTGTTCTTCTGTGGTTAGGAAGTCACCAAGAAGAAACTTAAGAACTCTTTCATTGAGCAGTACATAACTTCTCCTGGTAAGAGACGAAAAATTCTGCAAGAATCCTCCCATTCTAACTGCATAGCAGGAATACTCATACGCTTTTGCCATGATTGAATAAAACTCTTAACTAACAGAACCTTCAGTGTAAATACTAGAATCTGTAGGATACAGCTTCAATTTTCTGCTCTGTAACTGGTGTCCCGTGTGACTGATGCAACAAATGCCATAGTTTCCCAGTAGTAAACAACTGTAAAAACATGTTTAACTTTTCAGGAAGACCATCAGTCTATATAAAATAATGTAGCCTAAAGATGCTGAGTAGATCAATGGGCTTTACCACCACACTGCTCAGAGCCATACCATTTGCAGTGTGTTTACTGGAACAACTTCTCATATTGTTATTTCATTTCTGTTCTGAAATCAGCAGAATCAGTCTTACATCCTGCACTGACAGACATGTATGAAGGAAAACAGCTAGTTTGTTCACAGAGCAAAATGAATATGTGATTCTATATTTAAAAGGAATAAAAAAAGAAAAAGCCAAACAAGAAATATTGACGCTAGGAGCACAGAAGTTACACAGGATTAGATTGTTAAAAATACAGAGTGGTTGCCAAGCATTTATGGGTGCAAAGCTGTTAGTGGGCGGAAAAGGTTAGCATAATGGTAACAAGTTGAATTTGTCTTTTAGAAAAGGGAGGGGAGCACACACTCTAATAACACCTTGTACAGCAGAACTGGCTTTTAGCCTGTATGATGCAACTTTTCATTAACAGCAAGGCTTGATCTGGATCTCCTTTTGATTAAGCAGGCAGCTCAGTACTGAGGCTTGTCTGAAAATTCTGTCTCAACATTCTCATTTAAAGATATATACAAAAGATCTGAATTTTATCTACTGATACGTTAAAGGCATTTTTCCCAGTAATTAGGAATAGAAGCTAGAGATTGTTATTCAACTTTGGAAAGCCATTAGGTCTTTAAATATGGTTGCCCAAGGTCAGGATTCTACACCTGGTGAGAAAAGATAAATTTTGTCATGGAATACGTGCTTTCTGGAATGCTTCCTTATCTTCTGTTTTGTCCCTCCGACATTTCCTAGAGCAGAAACAGTCTGGATATAAGCTACAATTTACTTATGTACCAAAGGCATTTTGTCATTTTAAGGCCTTCTTTGTGTTGCCGTCGCTCTTTCTCAGTATCAGATGATACTTCAGAAATTCTAACCTGCCATTCTGAGACTAGAAATTAAATAAACATTCATATGAAGTTTATCCTTCCAGTCTGAAGGGAGAAGGGTAGATTCAAATCTGTTATACAAGTCTAAATTTTTATTAACCCTAAATCTGGGCAGTTAGATTTAGACTCTAACAGCTTGTGATATAAAGATGCCTTAGAGCTAATTATAATCAGCTTCAAAAACAAATCCATTAAGCATGGTTCAAAATATCTACTTTAGCATTTGCTTAAGGTTCAACTTCTGCATTACTAAATTAAGATTCAGCTGTTCTGCTTTCTGTCCCCTCAAGTTTATCCCTGAAATACTAATCTGAATTTACACAAAAACAAGTGCAAACATGAGTAAGAAAGAACTTTCAAACCCTTTATCTTCTTTCTGCAACTGGCCCAAAAAAGTGCAGTTCAACTAACAAAAGCCAGACATTTACTGCTGCCTCTATTACTGCCTCTGTCAAAAATGCAACTAATTTCCTCAGGGCAGAGACACAGATAAGGGCAATTACTCTGACGATTGCTTCTAATGCTTACACTTGACCAATTGCTTTCTGCAGTTGTCACATACTGATTCTAGACCCCAGCTACCTATGTGACAGCTAGTATGTCTTTACAAGCTTTTCCAGAAGTACTCCTCCTCACTGTGAAGGCCCAGAATTATTTAATCACTACAAATCTACCACTCCCTCCACACAGCTGCACAGAGCTTCTGACTGCTGAAAGAGTCTATAAATGTGGAGATCATGATTTAATCCACTGCTATCTTCAGATAATTATGCCGAATGTAAGAAGTGTCTAATTAAAAAGCAGAAGCAATATTAAATAATAACAACAACACTTTGATGAAATACAATGACTACATCAAAAAAGTCTTCTTAACAAACTAAGTCACACCTACAGCACAGGTATCACCTTGCTGTTACTGAAGGAAGTGAGAAACACAAAGGCTAGGCCAAAGGTCAGTTATACAAACAGCAAAAGTGACTAATGTGTTCAAAGTCATGCAGTCATTGACTGGAAGTTTCTTATTGCCTATTCCTGCATTGATCATCAAGGAAACATGCCTCCTAAAGCATTAATGCTTTTGGCTTGCATGGGCTACACTGAGTGAAGAGAATGGTCTTGGGCCACATATATGTAGGTTACTCTGAAAGTTATGACTCCTATTTATTTCTTCAGAAATTATAACGAAGAGTACAGTAACACTGTTTGACTGAAAAATTCTCAGCTACAAAACACTGTTTTTTCACACAATCACCACCATTAGCCATGTGTTTTTGCCAGCAATGAACAAAGACCTGCATTTCGTGCTTGTAAACATCCACACCAGCAGTCACACCACTGTCACTACCCACCACCTTGTGCTCACATCTGCTGTTTGATCTCCATAAACCAAGAGCTGATGAATGTCAGTGGGTACAATTTTTTCCACATGGGGGGAGTTCAGCGACACACCTTTGCTTAATACATTCCAATGTCAGATGCTGTTCTGTCAGACTGGCCCTCTCTGCCATCTGTCACACGGCAACAAAATGGAATGCGATGTTAGAGGGAAGGTTCAGTCTTTACTGCCGCAACACCAGCATCTAAGTCTGATGTCGTGTCATAAAATAGGAGGCACTGATTTTGCAGCAGCCCTCGTTAAATGTAAAACATAGTTAATGTATATAAAGTAACAACACTTATTTCAATTTCAATTTTTTTTTAATTAAAACATACACAAACGTGAGTAACAAAAACATAAAACTAGTGGGATATGTGACCTTGTTTTTGTGAAACTAACGCATCAGGTTAGTTCAGTGGCAGTGGATGACGTTCTCAGTGAGCTCTAAAGGTGTTCAAGTAGAGATTTTTGTTGAAATTTTACTTTTCCCATACTTTATCCATGACAATTGTTCTCAACTGTGCATGCTACCAAAAAGCAACGACACGAATAAGGCGTGACTGTGAAGTGATGGGCATTTCTCTCTGTTAAGAGAAGTCTTATAAAAGTCTTGAGATGAAAAAGGAAGGGATAAAATTTCCTTGCAAAATAAGTTGAAACTTTGGAAGCATAAAGAAGGACGGGGGGAAAGGGGGGTTCTCTGCAAAACAAGATAAAGCTGAGAAGAGTTTTGGTCACAAGGATCTGGTTAAACAAACATATCTTGCAAACTCTTGCTGGCTTGACAAGACAAAGAGGAGAGTTAATTGTGCACCACTATCTGGTTATTGCTGAGGGGCCAAGGTGGGACATTCAGAAGGGAAGAGATGTCACCATGATGGTACGGGGCAGGGGGCAGCTGCATTGTGAGCTGTGCTGGGCCTCATGCAGGCTGCAGTCGGACAGGCCTGTAAGCACTGCTGCAAAATACTACTTTGAAGGTCACACTTTCAAATACCACATATTTGGACAGAATCAGGCAGAACAATGAAAAACGATGGCAATGTGTATGAGTGGTAAAAAAAATTTTTAACCCACAAGCAAGAACTTATGAAATTTGTGAAGGCAACACTGTTTGCCATTAAAGTCAGAAGAGCTAAAAAAGATGCATGATTCATAATTCACCCACACACCAGTTTTAGCTCTATTTGAAAACCTTAACTAGCCTCCTTTGCTAGTCACATGCCCTCCTTTAAACTTAAATCAATCTGGCGTTATTTCTAATTGTGGGTATTCTGTTGTATCAATGGGATTGCACTGACCTTCAAGTAAAACTGCTGGGCCACACAACCTTACCCAGAAAGGGGCTGCAAGCTTCCAAGGAGAACTCTCCTCCATTCTGAGCAGAGTTGTTGCCTTTGCTGCTATTAATGACTACAAGACGCAGCCTCGCCATTACTGATCTCAGCTGCACTGAGGCATCTGTTGCCGGGGACTGCTTCACACACGTGGTCCTGCCTACACTTGGAGCCTGAACTTTGATGTGGCTGATGAGCAACATGAAACCACTTTTTTCTGCAGCCACGGAGGCAGACACCTCAAAATAGCAATCCTGGAGCTTGTCTCTGGGAAGGCTGCAAAACTTGCCCAAGCCAGCCGAGAAACATATGGCAATCGCCCTTACAGCAGGGATACGGGAGCATCATCCGCAATCACTCCAGGCCACCCTTTCACCTGGCCACATGAGACCACAGCTGCGACTAAAATAAGAGCTGCCGAACTGGATAAAACGCACCCAACGCATTTCAAGGCCCGCGGGCTTCTCACAGTGCCTCCCAACGGGGAGCAGAAAAGCACCGCAGAGCTGCGCAGGGACCTCCCTCTGCGCTCCGAGAGCCTTATCTGCAGCTCCCAGACCACCGGCGGGGCACCCCACGCCGCCGCTTCGCTCGGCAGCCACTCAGAGAGGGAGGGCAGCCTGGCCCCGCGCCAAGCCTGCCTCCGTCCCCGCTGTCGCCTAGGCAACAAGGCGAACGGGCAAAAGAGATTGCGCCAGCGGAAGCGACCCCCCGCGCGGGGCGGAGCGGAAGCGGAGGCGGTGCCGGCCGGTGGCGCAGGTACCCCCGGCGCTGCAGTGCCCCGGCCCCGCCCTCGCGGCCCGCCCCGCCCTCAAGCCCCGCCCCGCCTCCAGGCTCCGCCCCTCGACCGCGGCCGCCGCCGCCGGGGAGGCTGCGCGGGCGCCGCGGCGGAGTCGTTAAAGGAGCGAAGCTGTCTTGAAAGGGCCCGGCACTGCCCCGCGCCGCCTCGCCCGTCGCCGCCGCTGCCACCACCGCCCCGGGGCGGGCCGTCGCGGCGGGTGGATGTCCAGCGCCTAGCGGGCACCGCCGGGGCGGGGACGCACGGACGCCATGGGCTGCTGCAGCTCCGCCGCGCAGGTGAGCGCCCCGCGCCCCGCTCTGCCCCTCCGCCGCCGCCCGGGCCCCCCGCTCCCCCGGCCTCGCAGCCCCCGCCCGCGCTGTGTCCTTTTCCCCCGGGGCTCCTCCTGTCCTGGCTCAGCCCCTGCCCCCGGCCCTGCCCCGCTCCGGGCCCGGTTGCTCCCGCCGCCCTTCCCGGTGTGTGGGGCTGTCCTCGGTCCCCCCACCCCCCGGCCACTTTCCCTCGCCGGGTCCCTCTAGTCGTGTAGCGCTGCTCCCCCCGGAACTTCACACTGTTTGCTCGGCCTCCTTCCTGAGGTTGTGATCGTGACTAACGCCGCGACGGTGCCCGCCCGTAAATGTTGGCTCTCAGGTTGCGGTGGCTGGATCCAGCTTCCAGCGGGCTGCTTCTGTTGGAAAGTCCATCTCTGCCGTCCCGGATGACTCATCGCAGGGATGAGTTTTTTAAGTCAGCCGTTCAGTCAGTATTCCTCTTTATTACCGTATTTTTAATTTTTTTTTTTTTAATAAGGATTCTGTCCTTCCCACGCAAAGCACTGCAGAGCTGTCCAGTTGCAGTAGGAAGCAACATCCTTTTTGTACGGCAAATTTTGCTGCAAAGAGAGAGGCAGTGAGCTTTGTGTGGTATGTGGGGAAATGGTCTGGAGTTGCAGAGGATGTCGTTTTCCACGAATGTTAGAGGAGATGTTCAGATCATGAGGCCACTGCAGCAGGCTGCTGCCAGGGAGTCTGTGGTTTGAGGTTTGTTAAAACTGTGCTGGATAAACATCTGCTAGGAGTGGCTTAAGCGAGGCTGATACGGACTTTGAGCACTGTGAGCGAGGCAGATGTTTTGAAGTGATGTTTTGAAGTCCCTTCCAACCTCACTTTCTATGATCTGTATCAAAATTCGTTCTTGTAAGCTTTTCATACCCCCCTTTAAGGTGTTTCTTATGAATTTGAATTGCTTGTTCGGTTTATGTTCTTTTCTTAAATGAAAAAGCAGGTCTGTGGTTTTTGTTAGACCAAAAGCAGGGAGAAATAGAAGATTGGATGTTTTAAGTTCTCAGATTTCAAATAACCCATTTTATTTTAAGTTTTTTTTTTTTTTGTGGAATTTGCCTTTCCACGCCAGATCTCATGATGCTGATGATATGCTGCTGAAACTCTCATTTGCTTTCCTTGTGTGTGGCAAGATGTGGCACAGTAATTGAGCTTAGCATCCTGTCTGCGTAACTGAGCTGTATAGAATGGTTGATTATTTAATTCCCTAACCAAGAGCAATTCTGCATCTCCTCAGGAAATGTGAATCAAAGGCTAGTTGCTGAATATTTCATCAGCAACAGTTTTCTCTGGCATATTGTTTGCAGAAACCTTTCTACCAACAGTGCAGCTCTGCTTTACAGCCTATCGTCTGTCATCTCCTTCCTTTATCATTAACAATAGATGTTGGCTTCCTCTACTCCTGCCTTTATGCCTTCCCCTCCCTTATTTCCTCCAAAGCTTTCCTTGAGATCCATCAGATGTTCCTTCATGTTGCCTCGTACCTTGTTTCTCCCTGTTCAGCTTCATGTTAGGCTTTCAAAGTCTTCCTTATCATAACTCCTTATCCTCATTCCTTATGACCTTATCAAGTTCATTTCTCCTTAAGTTTATTCTCCAGCTCCCTAGCTTGTTTGATCTTCATCTGCTAATCCTCATTCTTGTTTCTGAGAGGCGATTACTTGTATTTTGGCTTTGCCAGCCATTTTCTTGTCTAGTTCTGCATCTCCAAGTCCTTTCTCACGACTGCCACCTCCTCATCTCATTGATGTTACTGCATCTACCTGAGACTGGCTGTTGAACCAGGCAGACTTCTTTAGTGTCTTCTCCATAGCTCTTATTTCATGCTCAATTGCCTTTTTTTTTTTTTTTTTTTCTTTCAGTGCATTTCCCGGTTCCTTTGCTTTGTAGGCTGTCAGGAGCTCTGCCTTAGGCTTTTTCCTGTTTTTCTTTCCCTGTAGAATCTAAAGGCTGCAAAAAACAAAACAAACAAACAAAAAACCAAACCTGATTCCAACTGACGTGTTTACCTTTTCTCTGCACTGAGCCTACTACTTTCAGGGATGGATTCCCATGTTTGTTGTCTGCTACTTCTGCCTTTAATTGCTTAGCTTGGCCCTATATTCCTATTCATCCTGTTTATCTCCAAACATTTGGGCTTTTGTTTTTCGGTTTTTGTTTTACCTTTTCCTGGATCTTACTGCCTTCCAAATCTTATCGAGTTACTGTCCTCCATTTGTAGAACTGACAGTCAGCTTCAGTCTGCATTCCTTCTTTTCCAAACTCCTGGAACAGCAAGTAGAAATCTAAATTGTTGGATATTCTCTCTTCTTGTTCTTGTTCTTTCTCGCTGTTATGGCTGTCATGGTCTATGGTTCTTTAAGTGCTCATGCTATTCTATACTTATTTATGTGGACTTTGCTGTAAGTTTTTGTGCTTACTTGTTTCTCTTGACCAAACCTTGTGCAATGCTGGCTAAACTTTCCAACTGTGTACTATTAATTGATTAGGATCCTCTTCATGCTGCAGTTTCTTTGAAGTGTGGTTGTAAGGCAGAGGTGCAGTGACTTATTTGAGATGAAAACCTTGTAAAGGATGGAAAAAAGCCTCACCTTTAATGCATCTCTTGCCTTGCAGTGCTGCTGCATTGTCAGTACCTTCATGCAGTTGCAGCCCAAGGTCCTCCCTCACTGTGTTTTCATCATGAGTTTTGCAAGGCGCTTCTGTCTGGGTGCATCTCTTTCATTGTAGATCTGCTGTGCAAGAAACTCTTCACAATATTTTAATTCTTTTTTTCTCATTACTCTTTGTTGTTGTTATCCTTTGGAAGTGCACTTTCTGAATTTTAGTGCTGAAGCTCTGAGTAGATAGTCAAATTCCTTATCAAACGCTTGGTTTTATCTGTTTAAAAAAAATGAGTTTGCAGTTGTGGGGCAACGCTCTTTCCGTTCTTTCCATTACTTCTCAGTGATGTTTTCTGTCTCACTGTACTAGTCCATGATGAATTGAATTTGCAGGAGGTACTACAAGGGTTCATCACTCTTGTCTCATCGTAACTGTCAGTCTCTGATGTAGAGCTGTTTGACTGAAGTAATCCATACAGTTGGTGGTGGATTGTTTTGTTTGTTGTTGGTTTTGTTTTATTTATTTTGTTTGCTTTTGCAAGAAAGCTTCCATGATGGTTTAATTCTGATTGCTCCAGTGGTCTGGTTTGCATCTCTGTTGTAGGGATACAGAGTTCTGGAGTTCGTGGAAGGGGACAAGCTGTGAGACAAAGTGGATCTTCTTAAACTGCTTTTTCTTGGGTTAGCTCCAATATGGAATTCTTTCTCCTTTCCTGGTCTTATGTGGATAAAGTGAAGAAGCTGAGTGTAGTTACTAGGTATGTGCTTTGGCATTCTGTTGTAGGATCAGTGTTTGTGCTTGGTCAGGGAAATAAATGTGGCCTCAGTGTTTGTGCTTCGTAGCTGTGTGTGTGTATGTATGTATGTATGTATGCATATATATTAATCTTCACATCTTTCTTTGCTGTAAACTTCATGTAAAATGCATATGAAAAGGACTTCAAACCTTGCTGGAAGCTGTAGGGAGGAGTGGGTTAAATATAGCATGAGCTTTAGTAGTGGACTTGTTTTTTTACAAGACCAGAAAAACATTCTGTAAGAAAAGCAGAAGACGGATCATCCATTAACCTTCCTACGGCACTTGATGTCAAAGCATCAAAGAGTAAATTTGGAATTCATAGTTTTTATAATATTTTCATAGTTCTGGTGAAACATAAGCCTCTTGTGAGCTCTTATGGACAACATATATCATTCACTGCACATTAGCTCCAATAAGATCTTGCAGTCAAATTTCTAAATGCAAGGGGAATCAAGACATGCCTGCTTCGCTGCTACTATGAATATGATTGTGGAAGAAGATGAACTGGTTAACGGTGTTTATAGTTAAAAGTAGAATGAGATGTGAATTCTTCCAGCAGTTACAGCATTTATTTTCCTTCTCAACACCTTGATTCTAGATGAAGTCTCTGGCAAGCAGATGCAGAATGAAGGATGAAGCATGCAAGTAGGATTCAGAAATGGTGCTTTTTAGTCAGGCATCTCACGGGGCTGTTTACTTTTTTTTTTTTTTTCTGGTATTTCTGGTCTGTGAACTCCATTTACTCCCTGTGAAGCATCAGGTGTACATTTTACAAATGCTGTCACAAGCAGCTACACAACCTGTGCATATGATTCCTTTTGATCTTTTCATAGAAGGAAATACTTTAACTACAGAGCTACTTGCAAATACTCCTTTTCAAATCCATTGAGTTTTTTTGCAGAGGCCTAGCTCCTTCTGGAGTGTAGACTGTCTTTAAGTTATGTCAGATCTTAAAAGTTGTAAGTAACACATTATTTCGTTTGTGAGATTGATAACTCTTGACTGGCTTTTTTTTTTTTTTTTTTTTTTTAGCACTTCAAAAGCTGAACACTTGGATTAAGAGCAAGTATAGAGTATTGCATCATTAGAAGATAATTTTTCTGTAAAGAGAGAATGGTTTCAGGAAAGATTGCTATCTTAATGGTGAATGCTAAGTTAAAAGCTTATGGTAGTCTAACTGGCATCTGGATTGCTGTCAGCTGTCAAACTTCCAGGTTGATAATCATAAGGGGTGTATTCAGGATTATGCCACTGACTACTTCTGTTTTTCCTGATGCAGAATTGGCAGTGTTTGTGGTTATGTGGTGAAGTTCCCGGCGTCTTGACGCTTTTAGCTCTGAAGGGAGCTTTTCATTAACTTTGCATGCGCTTCTTTCCTTTAGGCTAGTTATAATTTTTGTTCATTTGAACTTCAGTTGTTTTGTCTGTGAAAATCAGACCTAGTGAACCAACTTGAAACTGTGTGTTTTATTTTGTATTTAGATCTTTCTCACTTGAAGAATCTGGGCGGTTGTATAAATCCTGCAGTTTGCTTCTGAAAGCCAGCGATGAAGCAG